GAGAGAGGGAGGGAGGGAGGGAGGGAGGGAGGGAGGGAGGAGAGAGTGAGGGAAAGAAAGAAAGAAAAGATGGGCCAGTGAGATGGTGCAGCAGATAAAGGTGCTTGCCCTCAAGCCTGGCCCTTATTGGAGGAATAAGGATTTTTGTTTGTTTAAGATAGGGTCTTGGGGCTGGAGAGATGGCTCAGCAGTTTGGAACACTTTGTGATTGCAGAACACCCGGGTTCAAATCCCAGCACCCACATGGCAGCTAACAACTGTCTGTAACTCCAGTTCCAAGGGATCCGACAGCTTCTTCTGTCCTGTGTGGGCATTGCACGACACGGGTGCACTTACCTACAAGCAGGCAATACATGCATACACATAAAATAAAAAATAGAATAAAAAAATAAAAAAAGACAGGGTCTCATATATCCCAGGCTGGCCTCAAACTTGCTACTTAGCTGAGAATGACCTTGAACATCTGACTCTCCTGCCTCCACCTCCCCAGTGTTAGGATTCCAGGCATGTACCACTACATCCAGCTTATAAGGTGCTAGGAATTTTCCTGCATGCTAGACTAGGGTTGCACCAACTGAACTACATCTTCAGCTCTCTTTTGTGCTCGAATCTAGGACATTATGCTTGCTAGGCAAGCACTTTACCACTGAGCTATATACCCAGATGTTATACTTTTAATGTGCGATGTCTCCTACAAATCTGTGTGTTAAATACTTGGTCCTCAGCTACTGGTACCATTTTGGGAGGTTATACAACCTTTGTAACTGTGACTTAGCTAGCAGAAGGGAGTGCGATCTTGAAGGTAGCAGCTGTGCCTAGTTCTGGCCAGAACTCTCCACTTCCTGAGCTGTCAATATATGAACAAGCTGTGCCACAGATTCCCATCGCCATGGACAAAGTTGCTCCAGCCGCTTTGCCTTCCGTACCATGATGGATTGACATCCTCTGAAACTGTGTGCCAGAAAAATTCATTCCTTCCTTAAGTAGTTTCTGTCAAGTATTTTGTCACAAGGACATGAAAAGTAACTAATGCACTAGCCCTTTTATATGCCTTTTATCTTGAGACACGTTCTCACTAATTTGCCCAGGCTACCTATCTCAGCTTCCTGAGTGGCTGGAATTACAGGCCTATGCCACTAGACCCAGCTCAATGAACTCTTAATGCGGAACTGAGCACTGTGGAAAGAAGGTCTTGAATTTCTAGAGAACACTCAGGTTTGGAATTCCCATTCTGAATAGATAGAAATACAGAAGCTCAGCAAGGAAAAGAGACTTGCCCAAAGAACAGTCCTTTGGAATTGACTTCTGACAGGGGAAGAACTGACACCTGCAAACCTGAGACTGGCTTCACACCTGCTTCCTCCCTCCTGCTTTGTAGCCTCAGGCACTTCTGGACCCCAGTAAAATGGGACCGTGTTCTCAACTTTCTGTCTCCTGTTTGGTAGGAGCTGGGCCAACCACAGTCTTTCGTGCTTTGGGCAGACCCATCCTGATGCCTCCTACCAGTCTGGAAATGTCCATGCCAATCCTTAATATTATGAGCACTTAGAACATTACCAATGCCACGGGTACACAAGGGCATTATATAAGGGTGAAGGCAGGGTGTTGACTATTGTTTCATTTTTGTTTGTTTGGAGACAGGGTCTCATGTAGCTCAGTGATGGCTTCAAACTCACTATGAAGCTGAAACTCCGGACCTCCTTCCTCAGCCTCCCAAGTGCTGGGATTACCAGTGTGTGCCACGGTGCCCTGCTTGTTTGTTGTTTGTCCGAGGCAAGGACTCATATAGCCCTCATGTACTTTTAATATGCACATTTCTGCATACCAGAAAGGTGGCACATCTCCAGCTGTTGCTCATTTGAACTTTTGTGATCTTAAGTCAGGTATGGTAGCACACAACTATGATCCAGCCATTTGAGAGATCAAGGAACAAAGATTGCAAGTTCAGGCCAACCTAGGCTACATAATGAGATACTGTCTTAAAAAAATTCTTTGTTTGAAAAAAAGACTTATCAGCTGGATGTCTCAAAGAAAGGTTTTATAAAAATAAGCAAACCAAATGAAGGACTGATGGAATATATAAAGATGTGATGGCCCACACAGGAGGCAGAGGCAGGTGGATCTCTGTAAGACTAAGTTCAGTTTGGTCTAT